TATATATATATTAGTAAGGTTGATAAGAACTAATTATCGGGTTCTCCTTGTCATTGAACATGCCTTTCATCGAATACTCAAAAAGTAGCCACTTGTGACTTCCAATTAAGAATTCTGGGAATTAGATTATCAACTCGGACACGATCTTGGGTTCAACATTTGAACAACACTCATACGACCATTCTTGCATAGCAAGAGGCATACCAACAATCCTATAATACTTTTTCTCATATAGATTTGACAATGGGGTAATCACAATATTTCTCTCTCAATCAAGTCAAAGTGAATCCTTAGAATGGATGTGCTTTTCTTCTCACTAGACAATAGGTATGGATTTATGAAATATAACAATTCTATTTTCACAGCATCTTCATTGTTATCAAAGTCCCAATCCTATCGTTAAAGAAATTTAGAAAGCAATTTTTTTCACAGTTTTAGCTCCTGCAAAATATGTATTCACAAGCCTATTAGGTTTCTTTGTGTCAAAAGTAAAATCTGCTTCATCACCAACACAATTTAATCAGTAACTATAGCAAACTCCCTAAGTATAAAGCGCAATGTGGTACCATTTACATGTATAATAATTGCATCGAGAGATCTTTATTTCAAACTCTCGCACCATGAAGCATCTGAACATTTGTGCTTGAACTTCATAATGTTGCATATGGAGGAATACACCAAAACAGATTTGACCAAAGAGTTTATACTGTTGTGCGGTAAGTTTTTCTATGATGTCTGAGATTATATCAGTGTAAGTGTAGCAACACGTCTGGCGATGAGGTAGGAGGGTGTTTAACAAAGAATTTCAATTCCGCATACAAAACCACAAAAGGTGATATTAATTACGTAATACAATCAAATCATCTAAATAAAGCTAAAAAAAGTTACACATACGGTAGCAAATGCATTACTTCTGCAAAAATTAACATAGACATGCCATTACATGAAGCATACATTATATCAAAAGGATGAAGCATGTGATGTATCAAACTTTGAGTTTTTGAATACAACATAAAAAGTAGATACAAGCTTGAAAAAATACATTACAAGAATTGGACTAAGGCATAAATTCAACTACAGTTAAATACAAATACGACCACAATCAAAGACTGTACAGAAAAATATAATGTATCAAGCAAAAAAAGAATCAAAAATCTCAAAGGTATAATGTATAAAAAAAAATCAAAAAAACGGTATTCTGTATAGGTAAAACTCACAGATATACAAATTCAAATAGAATTACAATGTCAAAATTTTCAAAATACACAAAATACATATATTTATAAGTTAAAAAACAGATACATAACCTTCTCCTTCACTGATTTTGAATGCTCGCCTTTAGCTAAAGTTTTTCCTTTACTCCCCGAAGCGACATCACTGATTTTTCTCCTCTTTTCTATACTTGTGGTGTGCACGAAAACTTTTGAAACTTCAACAACCTATGCTATTTTAGTAGATTTTGTACCTTCATCTTGTTTCAATGGTTGCATGGGGTCATTGCTTTGTTTGCTTCGCTTCTCGGCTGCCATGGCAGAAAGAGAGCCTGCAAATACATCTTTGTCTTGAGTGATGCGCAAATCAAAAGATGGCCCATCAAAATTGAGGTCAGTAGTTGGTATACCTCGAGTTACCCTCTTCGGAGCGCTTAAGTCAGCCATTAACATCAAAAATTCTATTTCTCTGCAAAACCCTAACAATGGCTGAAACTGAATTGCTTAGTATTGTGAAATAAAAGATTCAAAGTGAACTAAGCAAAAACTACCTAAAACTCCTTACCTATATGTGAGAGAGCATGATTTAGGAACAAAATTGTGCTTGAAAACATGGAGAGAAATCGCGATTGTTGAGGGAGAAAGAATTTCGGATTGGTACTGAAAGATAGAAAGAGAGAAAAATCGTTGATAGAGAAGATTGATACACTTGGCGTATTTTATCCAAAGCCTCTCCGGACTACATCCAAATATACCAACAAGTACTATAATATAATACAGACTTATTCCAAGCCTCAAATCATACATAACAATATCGAAACGACGAATCACACCTCAAACTAAACATAATGAACTTTGAATCTTTTAACTTCCAAAACTCGAACCGAAATATATCAAATCAACTCGGAATAAATTTAAATTTTACGCACAAGTCCCAAATGACACAACGAAGGTATTCCAATTCCAGGAAACACAATCTGAATCCGATATCATCAAAGTCAACTCTCGGTCAAATTTATGAATATTTCTGACCTTCAAATTTTTAACTTTTGCCAAGTAGTGCCGAAACCTTCTAGAAATATCCAAATGCAAATACGGGCATACGCCCGAGTCCAAAATCACCATCCGCACCTAACGGAACCGTCAAAACTTTGATCCGTGGTCAAATGCTCAAAACTCAAACTTGGTCAACTCTTCCAACTGAAGGCTTCTTAGTTGAGAATCATTCTTCCAAATCAATTCCGAATAACTTGAAAATCAAAACCGACGATTACACAAGTCATAATTCATCATACAATACTGCTCAAGACTTCAAATAGCTGAACGGAACGCAAATGCTCAAAGCGATCGGTTGGATTATTACAAAGCACTGAATCTTGAATTAACCTTTGCTCGAAGAAATAAATTTTTTCTAGTTAATGAGTTAGAAGAATTAAAGTTAGAAACTTATGAAAATGCCAAAATTTTCAAGGAAGAAACAAAGAAGTGGCATGACAATTTGATCAGACAAAAAAGCTTCAAAAGTGGAGATCTTGTCCTTTCTTTACAATAGCTGACTTAGGCTATTACAGAAAAATTAAAGTCCAGGTGGACAAGTCCCTATAATGTTACAAATGTTACCCCTTATGGTGCAATTGAAATACAACACATAGATGGTAGAGAAAAGTTCAAGGTAAATGGACATCAATTGAAAACTTATGCGACCAAAATGTTTGAGAAACATGCTTCAACAATTCTTTTTTCTTGAAAAAAAAATTCAAGTCGAGTTGACGACATTAAACTTAAACTATATTTTTCTATTTGTTTGTGAATATTATTAGTACTTTTTATTACTAATATGAGTAAATCTAAGAAAATATTTTTAAAAAAAAAACGAAAAAAAGAAAATAAAATACTACAGAATATTTAGATTCGTACATATATATATGTGTATATTTATTTATTTGTTTTAAGTTTTTATTATATAACTAATGAACCGTAGTGATATTATTTTTTCTTTTATGTTTATATACAAAATTATACATATGAATTTAATCCTTAGAACAAGTATTAAAAAATAAAAATAAAACAAAAAATTTAGGTACTCTAATCTTTCTAAAATTGGGTGTATATATAAATGTTACTTAAAAAATAATAATAATATGTAGATAGTTATTATCAACTATTAGTAGTACGTCTTACACATTTTAAGTTAGTTAAAAAGAAAATTATTATATACTACTATTGGACTAATGTAGCAAATATGTATAAGTTTACTACTATACATAAGTATTATAATCTTAGTATATGTTTTATAAAAAAAAAAAGAAAAGAAGAAGATATTTTAACTAATCAAATATCAGCCATAACATGTTACAACTTAAAAAATGATTATGAAAGCCACGTTGTGATTTAAGACATGTTATGGAATAGTTTTGTAAATAAAATAAGAAAAAAGGGAAAAAATCTGCTTTAAATAAGTTTTACCTAACGTAGCATTCCCAAAGAAACAAAACAAGCAAACCCCACATCCAATTTGAACCTTTTACCCTGTTGCTTTCACCTACCACCACCAAAAAGCCACCGCCCACCACCCTTCTACACCAACATTCCTCAGCCATGGCCGCCAACCAGTAGTAAATTTCTTTTCCCTTTTTTCTATTTTCTAACTCTTTGTCATAGATTTCCTTTCAATCTTCTAGTTCTCCTTCTCAAACCCTCAAGAAAAAAAATGATCTCATTAAAGAGAACCCTTTCAGGATGTAGTTCTTGTAAGGTTTCTAAGAAACAACACATTGAACTGGCACTTGAGATATTCTCTGGAATAACTCGAACTATAGTGGAAGAATGTGGAATGAATTTTTTGCCAACTGATGGAGAAAAGCCGAAAAGGTATGTGAAATTTTGAAGAACATCAGATCTCTCCGGCGGGAATCCTTCGTGAAAAATCCAAGGGGTTATGTTAAAGAAATTGTGCTTGAATTCTACGAGTACCTTGACAGCAACAGTGCGAGGTAAGGTTATTAATTTTAACTCTAAGGTTTTGAATGAATTATATTCTTTGAGTGATGTTGATGATGAAGAAATTAGAGTTAAGATGAAAGCTAAAAATTTCAACTTCATGAAAGAAGCTGCGAAATTTATTTGTCCCAATGGAGTAAAAGTTAATTCAGGGACAAGGGGCAAACCTTTGAATATTGCTTGTTCATGTATGTTAGAAACGGCACGCACTTGGGGTAAGTTTGTAAGTTCACGTCTGATCCTTATGTTAATGTATCTAATTATGATAAGAAAAAGGTCATGCTCTGATATGCTATTCAACAGCATTTGCCCATAAAATGTTGTTTCAAGGACCGTAAATGCTTGTATTTTCTATCTACAATCACTCGCTTAGCGAGGCGATTTGAAGTACCCATTGACAATTTGGTAGAGACAGAAAATACTTATTGTATTGAACACAGCTTTTTGAATAGCTTGTTACCGCCCCATGGACCGGAACTGGTTGCACATGAACATCATACTTTAGAAACTCCAATATTGATTGAGGCAGAGAAGGCAGAAAATGTGGGTACCTCCTCTTCTCCCACTTCAACAGATATTCTCGTGTAACCAACAGCTATTATAGGAATAAGCTGCAATGAGAAAAAATTGGGATATCTTTGCAAAGAAGCAAGCAGTGATGGGAGCGAAGATGGAACATGTTATGTCGGAGCTGTCAGACACAAAAAAGGGTCAATATTTCACATGTCAAACTTTACATAATCATGTTGCTTACTGTCGCGATCCAAAATTCCACCCGTCGTGATGACACCTAATCTCTAAGACTATGTAAGCCGATTTAGATT